TAGTAAAACCCTATCTCTACTAAAAATACAATAAATTAGCCAGTCCTGGTGGTGGGCACCTGTAATCCCAGCTACTCGGGAGGCTGAGGCAGGAGAATCGCTTGAACCTGGGAGGCAGAGGTTGCAGTGAGCCGAGATCCCACCATTGCGCTCCAGCCTGGGTAACAGGAGCAAAACTCTGTCTCAAAAAAATAAAAATAAAAAGAATGAATGAATGAATGAATGAATGAATGAAGTGAACGAAGTGAACTCCCCACCAGGTGATTCTCTTGCTAGATAAGAGATGCCTTGGTTTAACTTTTGGCTTCCCTAACAACTATCTGTGGCTGTGACCTTGAATAATTATTCCCAGCTTTGGCCTGGAGCATCTTTGATGACAAGGTAAATTGAGATTAGAGATGCATTGCATGCAAAGTGGGGATTCTGGACCTTGGCACTATTAACATTTGGGATGGGACAGTCCTTTGTGGTTCAGGGCAGTCCTGTACACTGTAGGATGTTTAGCAGCATCCCTGGCCTCCACCCACTAGATGGCAGTAGCACATCCTCCCTCATTTGTGATCATCAAAACTGTCTCCTGTCATTGCCTTATGTCCTGTGGGGAGCAGTCACCACTCTGGAAGAACTGCCGGTATGAGGCGCCCAGCACAGTGCCTGCCACCTATTAGGTTTTCTTCTGAGGACCAGCGAGGAGAAGGGGCTGCTTTTCATGGAAGTCTGAGGCCATCATGAACCTTCTGCTCAAAGCCCACTTATGCAGATTTAAAGCCTGTGTGCATGTGTGTCTACAGGTTAAAGATTTGCTAATGGAAAGTAAATTCCCCAAAAGATTCTGACTCACTGTTTTTGCACCATTTTCAATATTGCCAGTCTCCAAGACTAGCTATCACCCGTCTTTGGTTTAGAGAGAATACAGCCCCTTTCTGTCTCTTTCTGCTTCACTGCCTGCTTTTTTTCCTGCCCAAACTATTTATGCAATAATGGCTTCTCAACTGGTGACCCCATATCTAATGACATTCTGCCACAGCTATTAGAAAACATTTTCCACAAAGGACCACATAATAGATCATTCAGGCTTGGTGGGCTAGGCAGTCTCTGTCACAGCTATCCAATTCTGCATTTGTAGTACAAAAGCAGCTACAGACAGTAAACAAATGAGCATGGCTGTGTTCCAATAAAACTTTATTTACAAAAACAAAATTTGGGCCAGGTTTGCCTCATGAGTCATTTGCTAGGTCCTCTCTTCATCCCCCTACCCTATCTCCTGCTGCCAGACTAGGCTTTACAGAGCCCAGAGGTCATTTTTCAAGCACATATTCACTTGGCAGACATTTATAAATATCCACTTTGCAGCTAGTATGCTGTTGGACCATGGAGATGGGACAGGCAATGTGGCAGAGTGTCCTGTTTTCAGGGAGCTCACAGACAAATAAACAGGCCATGGCAGTACTTGGAGCTATGTGAGCTATGACTATCCAGCTGCAGTGGAGTAAAGGGGATGGGCAACTGACTGGGTTTCAGCATCAAGGAAAGCCTGCTGGAGGAGGGACTCTCGATGCGAACTGAAGGAAGAGTAAGGACTAGCTGGGCAAGTGGGAGGTGAGGCTTTCCAAGCTGAGGGGCAGTGAATGTGAAGACTTGATGGAGTTGAGAGGATGGAGCTCTTCTCCCTTAACTTACTATAAGCTTCTGGAGGGCATGACCCTTCTCTGTTCGATACAGAGATAGCTCCAAGTCTACAAGGAGCCTTGGCTTTTTTGCAGGAACTAGTAGGAATGGGCCACTTTTCCTGAGGTTGCTCTGCACTGATGAAAAGCCCCCAGGGTTATATATGTTCCTGGTGAAAGTATCTCCTGCTGGAGGTGGAGGAGGGAAGCCTTTGTCTTCATATGATCATTGTCCACACCACTGCTTTGGAAGAGTTTACACAAGTCTATCTTTCAATTCAGAGATGGGCCAGGTAGAAGGTTGGGGAGACAGAAACAGACCTTTGAGCAGAAGCTGCCTCTGGCACAATGAATGTCTCATCAGATGGTTCCCAAGATCCCAACATTTCTGGGGCTTTTCATCACCCATAGAGAAGTGGCATCGCTATGAAATTTCTGTACAGAAGGATATGTTCCCTGAACAGCCTAGAAAAAGAAAAGACACTAGTTTAGTTATAAAACAGCAGAATTTTTTTTTTTTTTAATTAGTCAAGACCCTTTTGGTTGTAAGTAACAGAAAAAGTAGCTTAAAAAATGAGATAAAGGGTATAAAGTGTCAGTTTTGCAAGACAGATACGTTCTGGAGATTTAAGTACAGCATGGGAACAAGAGTTAAAAATACTGTATTATATACTGGAAATGTGCTAAGCGGATAGATCTTAAATTAAATCTCACCACACACACAAATGGAAATCATGTAGAAGTGATGGATATGCTAAGTACCTGGAATGTGGTCACTTCACAATGTATACATATGTCAAAACATCATGTTATACACCTTACATAAATAATTTTTATGTTAATGATATCTAAGTAAAGCTGTTAAAATATAGGACGTTTACTGACTTGTGTAACTAAAACAAACAGGGGTGGTGCTAACTGTGGGTAAAGCTGGATTCAAGACTCAAATGATGTCACTGGGACTCAGTAGAAACCTCTCTATTCCTCAGTTTCTTCTCTTCATTTTCCTCTAGTTTGGCCTCACCTGTAGGTAGGTCCCCTTCAAGTGGCAGTTCTGTTGTTGTTGTTGTTGTTGTTGTTGTTGTTACAGAATCTTGCTCTGTGGCCCAGGCTGGAGTGCAGTGGTACGCTCTCAGCTCACTGTAACTTCCACCTCCAACATTCAAGTGATTCTCCTGCCTCAGCCTCCTGAGTAGCTAAGATTACAGGCATGTGCCACCACGCCCAGCTAATTTTTGTATTTTTAGTAGAGATGGGGTTTCACCATGTTGCCCAATCTGGTCTCGAACTCCTGATCTCAAGTATTCCACCTGCTTTGGCCTCCCAAAGTGCTGGAATTACAGGCGTGAGGCAACATGCCCAGCCTAAGTGTCAGTTCTTGGCAGCTCCAGGCTTATGTTGTTTTTACAGCTGCCAGAGTGGAAAGAGAACTTCTTCCCCAAAACTACAGCAAAACCCCGGGGTGACTGGGACTCAGTGGTGTGGCTAGGCCTTAACGCACTAATGTACTCACTCGATAGATGTGCATGAACCCAATCCATGGGACTGTTTCAGTGGGACCTTCTGAATGGCCAGGCTGGTGTCCTATGGCTCATCTCGCAGTGACCAGGAGCTGGGTTCAACTATATTTGCACCATACAGGCTGAGAGTGGGACTGTCCCCCAGAAGGAAACTGGGGTCTTGTTGAAGAAACAGGAGTGATGACAGACCAGCAGTATCAGTGCATGTCTTCTGTGGCTTCCCAAGATGGGCAGGGTTAACTTCTTATGGTTAGCAGCAACTCAGCCTCAGCATAGGCACACCCTCCATGGCCCCAGTGCTATGGGAAAATGTTAGAAAGAGAAAGAAACGCTTGTGTCCTTTTGTTTCCAATGGCACAGACATTTGGAGAAATTTGTCTGGAGGAGGGAAGAGCCTGATGGGAATGTTTTTACTTGTAAAATGTTTAAACTTATCCTAAGCTTAGTTCTCTTCCAAGTGTCATCTTTAACATTCTAATTAAGGTCCCTTCTAAACAAATGCACCAGTTCTGTGTGCTGCTCTGAGAACAAACTTATTTTTTTCTTCCCTTCTTTCTGTCATCATGTTTTTGCTGCACTCAAATTGCTTTAGAGAAAGAGGATTTCGGATGTTGGTGGCGAGTACCAAAGAGATAAGGAGCAATTCTGATATTTTTGCCCTGGTATCATTGTACGAGGGCTAAAGTCACATCTAATTCACCACAGACAATGGGAGAGGCAGCTATTTCGTGTGCTTAATTGCTAAGTTTTTTTCCTCTCTCTGTCTTTCTGACTGTTTGATCCCATCTACTGAGACCATGGAAAATTTGGACCTTTGGGTTACCATTTCTTATGCCGTGTGTGTGTGCGCGCGCGTGCGCATGTGTGTGTGTGTCGTGGTAGGACTGTGGAGGAGGAGGTAGAGAGAGAGATGTTTCCTGAAATGGAAGCATTTGAATTCAGGTTTTTGTTGTGTGTGTTTTTAAAATTCTTCTGAGTTGGCTGTAATTGTCACACTGCATGTTTTGCCTAGATCTGAAGAATGAATTGTTATATAATACTCCGTGCTCATAAAAAAGCAAGGCAGGGAGGGAGAGGCATGGACTAATGAGACTAAGAGTTAAATCCAATATTTTTCAGAAATGCTTAAAATGGGGATGTCAGAGAGAACAATCGTTGTCCAAATTAGGCCCTGAATTTTTATCAGCTGCTTTATTTTGGCACTGAGGACATCACACACACACACACATACACACACACAACATAACACACAACCACACAGACACTAGGACCATTAAAAGGATACTCCCTCTTCCCATTATGTGAGCCAAGTCACATAAAACTTTGATTAAATTCAAATGCTTACATAAATTGTCTCTCCTCTCAAGAAGACACACGTTCAATTTAATCTCTCTTGGCACTTTAAGTATCAAATCAAGGTTCTGCTGTCACTGCGGACAACTAAATGCTCACAGTTTCCAAAATGGGAATGAAATGAAAAGGATCTGCCAGGAAAAAAAAAAAAAAATTCCAATCTAGTAAAGCCACAGACCCTCCTTGTCTTTGAATATTAGGCTGGGTGGCTTGGGAAAAGTGACTTCATTTTTTCCAAGCCTCGGTTTCTGCATCTGTAAAATGGGGAGAAGTGATGGTTACTGTTTCCTTATGGGGTCTGGTGAAGATGAACATAGATTGGTCCATCTCGGGCTGGTAGCACCATGGTGACCCCTAGAAAGTACGCAGTGCACGATCGTCCTGGGATCTGGGAGGAAGGTTTCTGAAGCGTGGCTTCTCATGATGTTCTCTCCCTCTCTCCACCTTTTTGATTTTTCAGGGTAATCAGGAAGCAGCCGCTGCCCCTGACACAATGGCTCAGCCTTACGCTTCGGCCCAGTTTGCTCCCCCGCAAAACGGTATCCCCGCGGAATACACGGCCCCTCATCCCCACCCCGCGCCAGAGTACACAGGCCAGACCACGGTTCCCGAGCACACGTTAAACCTGTACCCTCCCGCCCAGACGCACTCCGAGCAGAGCCCGGCGGACACGAGCGCTCAGACCGTCTCCGGCACCGCCACAGTAAGTGGACGTGTTGGCTGCGGGTGGGAGGTTATGCAAACCTGCGCTGGGGCACGTACCCCAGCCCTGGGAATGGTAGCAGGGGCGCATCCCCATCCACCCAGGGACTCTGGCAAACAGATCAGTCCCTAAGCCCACGCTCATCATACCAGCTTCCTGAATGAAGTTTACCTCATCTCCATGCATTCATTCTTAGCGTTCATTTAAATCAAAGTATTTTTTCATTAACTTCATTTATTTGTAAAGGGGCACATTTATCAATTTTCTATTCCTGTAGTTTTGCCTTTCTAGAATGCGATCCCAGTGAAATATCTTTTTTTTTTTTTTTTGAAAAAAAAATTTGGTGTAAGATAATATTTTTTAAGTCTTTATGGAGGCTGGGTATGGTGGCTCATGCCTGTAATCCCAGCACTTTGGGAGGCTGAGGTGGGAGGATCATTTGAAGCCAAGTGTTCGAGAATAGCCTGGGCGACAAAGTGAGACCTCATCTCTACAAGAAATTTAAAATTTAGCTGAGTGTAATGGTGCCTGCCTGTAGTCCCAGCTACTTGGAAGGCAGAGGTGGGAGGATGGCTTGAGCCCAGGAGTTTGAGGCTGCAGTGAGCTAAGATTGCTCCACTGAACTCCAGCCTAGGCGACAGAGTGAAACTCTGTCTCTAAATAAACAAAAATAAAATATTTGTGGAGTTATAATTTACATACCATAAAATTAGTATATTTTTAGTTGTACAATTCACTGATTTTTAGCATATTTACAGAGTCGTGTGATGATTGCCATCATCTAATTTTAGAACATTTCCATCAGCCTAAATACAAATCTTGTGCCCCTTTGCAGCTACTCCTCATTCATACCTCAAAGCTCTGAACCTGGCTTCTTTACCTTAGCCTCATGCATTTGAGACTCATCCAGATTTCAGTGTTTGTCCCTAGTTTCTTCATTTTTATTGCTGGACCAAAGAGCAGGGGCTAGAAAGGGGCAGGGTGAGAGAATTTGGATGAATAAGGAAACTGTCCTGTATCTTAATGGTGATGGTTATGTGACTTTATACACCATACAGAGTACATTTTATTGCATACAAATGATTACATGGATTAGAAACAGGCATATAAACAACACAGACATTTTATCATTACTGTAAATGAAAACTGGTGTTTTGACCATTAATCAAATATAACTCTAAGCAAAAATAATTACAGTAAAATTAAATAATGTTCATTTGTGTGCCACATAAAGTAATCATGTATACCAGAAAACCTATATGGAACATGCATTTGGGAACCTTTTTCTGCAGAATTCTTTAGAAGCTTGGGCACCCCAAATCTCTTGTCTGGAACATTTTTTAAGTGCAAGGCAATTCTGCCTCTTCCTCCTGTCCCAAGACCTCTTGAAAGGCAGTATTTGTGAAGAAGTTTATGGGTTTGAGGCATGATACATTTCCTATGATAAAAGCAACCACTGACTAACTTGGCTACTTGCCACCTCATTCATTTGGAGGCTAGTTTTGAAGATTTTTTTTTTTAAATAGTATACATTCTGAAATTTTTAGTTGTCTTCCTCCCTTTTAAATTTATTGTGGTAAAATACATACAACATAAAGCTTACCCATTTTAACCATTTTCTTCATGTGTAAATTTCAATGGTATTCAGTATATTCACTAGGTAGTGCAAAACCACCACCATTATCTGGTTTGAGAATGTTCCTACCACCCCAAAAGGAAACCCCCTACCCATTAAGCAGACTCTCCCCATTCTCCCTCTCCCCAGTCCCTGGCAACCACCAATCTGCCTTAGAGATAGTTTTTTGTGTCTGGCTTCTTTCTCTTAGCACAATGTTGTCTAGGTTCATTCATGTTGGGTTTCCCACTGTATGGATAGACCATGTTTATTTATTTATTAGTCCATTGATGGATATTTGGGTTGTCTCCACTTTCTGGTTCTTCTGAATACTCCTGCTACTGATTTTTTTGTATTTAGTTGCTGTACCTTAGGCCTGGTCTGTTAAATGAGTTTGCCGGATCAGCAGGTGTTTGTTGCTTTTGCGTTGACTACCAGGCAGTAGTGATGGGGTGGTTGTTTACTGTGTGTTGGCCATTTTGTGATAATCAATAGTAGTAATGCCTGGATAGGTTATTTTCAGATTTTGAAAAAAGGTGCAATCAGACATTATTTATTAAGCTAACTGCTGTGGAAATTTTATGTATTCATTTATTTACTCACAAATATTTATTAAGCTTCTACTAGGGCCGGGACTCATACTAGCTGGCATGGTTGAACCAAACAAAATGATCTTTCCCTCTTGTAACAGTATGAGAGGCAGAAACTGAGCATGTGGCAAATAGCATGTGCGATAGATGTCTTAAGGAAAATATGGGTACCATAGGGAAATTAAAAAAGAACAGAGGTGCTACCTGCAGACGTATAGTCTGGGAGCATTTCTTAAGGAGATGGTCCTTAAGGTGATAAGACAAAGCATCCCAGGCAGAGGGAATACCACAGTCAAAGGTTGTAAAGGTAGAAAGATCTGGGCTCACTCAAAGTCCTAAGAAGAGGCCAGTATGTTTCCGGCATGATGAAGGGGATTTGAAGGTGATGTGGCAAAAGATGAACTGGGAGGAATGAGCAGGGATTCAACATCCTATGGGCCTGGTGGGTCTGATAAGGGGTTGAAATTCCATGTTACAAGCAATGCTTTTTAAAAGCTTTAAGAAGAGTTTAAGTCAGAGGAGTTATGAAATGAGACATAAAAAGAAAGGGTTAGTGATGCCTAGCTTAAAGGAAATTTAATCTAGTTGGGGAGTTGAGATGCTCCACATCTTTACCCTGCAAAAAGAACACTTTAGAGATCAACACAATTGAATTTAAATAGCGTGTTGGGTGACCACAGTGCCCCAGGCACTGCAGTGAGATAATCTGATGTGCAGACAAGCTCTCTTTCCTTGGAGAGCCTTTGGACGATATAGGATATGTTTTCTGTTAATTATGATAATGTGCCAAATTCTAGCGTACAGGTATTCACAGTTTTTATCTATCGTGATGATAGTAGGAGAAAACATTTTCAAAATCATAGTCAGAAGGTTATACCTTTCAGAGTCTTCTGGTAACAGGAAAGAGAAAACTCAGTAGGAAGTGTGTTGGCCTGTACGATAAAAAGTCTAGGTGGAGGATAGACACAGCCTGGTTGTTGGAACATGTCCATCAGCTTCTAATGGGAAATCATCCTGGGTTGGCTTCCTCGTCCTCACCTCCACTCTCTGGCTTTGTCCTGCAAGTTCAGGCTCCAGTCACCACCTGTGAAAAGCTCTTGGATTTATCCTATAGAAGCCCTCTCATGGGAATCAGTCTCCATTCCTGGCTTGTGTGGCGTTATCTTCATTCAGTGGCTGAGGCTGGTACTGAGTGTCCCAGCCCTGGGGTCACTGAGGAGCTTCATATCCAAATACATGGAATGAAGACCATTTCATCAGAGTTCATGATAAGATACCTTCAGAACAAATCATTAAAGAAACTAAGTAGACAGAACCTGTTCAGAGCTAAAGGTAGCATGGTGAGCCGTTTGTATAAAAAAAAAAGCTTGAATTGGTGTTCATCAAGAGTAGGGAGTGAAGAGAAAGACAAGGACAGAACATTGGAGAGCTCACAGGGTGGGGTTTGAAGAAGAGGAACTATTGAATAAGACATCAGTAGGATGTTCAGATTGGACGTTCAACCAGTTGAATGTTGGGCTATAGAGCCTGCAGGGAATAAACTGAGAAGACATTATTAAAGTGACAGTTTGGACGTCTTCAAAGATCTAGAAGAAAGCAGCTCTGCTAGAGTAGTGGAGGGAGATGCAGAAGGGACAAGAGTTGAGGAATAAATGGGATATGTTGGAGTGGGCGGGCATTGCTCATTATAAATATTTGCAGTGATAAGGAAAAAAAGAGATTGCAGCTGAGAAGCAATGAGGTCAGAGAAATCGGTAGTATAGTTGATTTAGATTCACTAATTTATGCCAAAAAGGTCCGTCTGTGGGGTGCAAAAGACAGGAAACAAGAGATAGGGAATAATGGTGGAGGAAAGAAAGGGATGAAGTGTTTTATAGGAGATAAGAAGGAATAGGACCAAGAGTATTCAGATACAGTAGGTAGTCTAGGAAGGAAGAAACCATTTTTTAACAGCTTTGTTGACATACAATAAACTGTGTATATTTAAAGTATACACTGTGATACGTTTTTACAAATGTACCTACATGCACAACCATTACTGCTATCCAGATAATGAATACGTCCATTATCCCAAAGTCTTTTCTTGCTCTTTTATGATCCTCCCCTCCTCCTCTTTGCCTCATTCCCAGGAACCAATGAGTCTGCTTCTTTTGCTATAGCTTAATTTGCAGTTTCTAGAATTTTATATCAGTAACATCAACATTATGTGCTCTCTTTGGCTTCTTTTACTCAGTATCATTTATTTTAGATTCATCTATATTGTTGCATGTGGCTGTAGCTCCTTCCTTTTCATTGCTGAGTACTATTTCATTGCGTGGATATGTCACAGTTTATTTCTCCATTTACCTACACATGGGCATTTGGGTTGTTTTCAATTTTGGGTAACTCAGAAATAATTCTGCTGACATTTGGAACTACTTCAATTTTGAAACAGAAGAGAAGGAAGGGGGAATGTAGGAGGATGCAGAGAAATTTTCAAGTCAAGAGATAATGTGAGGAGTTCCATCCACATTGCCATCATTTTTTCCATGAATGGAGGCAGCATCATCAAAGGAAGGCTTCCTGAACTTGGGCAAACATGTCAGAAATCTGCCTTAGATAATTCCTAGAGTATTTGAATGGCAATGGGTGCTCAAGTTTGGAGAATGTGAATGTATGGTGGACTGGCTAACTGTCTAGTTTGTCTCCTCCAGCAGTGTTTGGATGGTACACAATCTCAGGGGTAGGATTTTAAAGGAAAGACAGCCATTAGAGGCTGAAGCAGGTGGGCTTTGTGGCTGATCCTGAAGAAAGTT